AAAATATATATATATATATAATTTAAATTTTATAAAATTCTCTTAATCTTATAAAAGAACATTGTATTTTGTTTACAGACAAATTTGTAGTCATCATTTTTATAATCATATTATTTCGATTATCATATTATTACGATTGTTTATGCGAGATCTTATCAATTTTTTCTTATCATCAATAACATGCATATCATTATAATATATGATATACAACTTATATAATAATAATAATAATAATAACAATAGGTAAAACAAGATATTCTTAAAATCATGTACATATATCTGAATTAGTTGCATGATTTGCTATTTTTATGAATGTTTTGTACACTCATTTATTCTTTGACTGCGTTTCACTTGACGCTCGCAACGCTCTGAGAATTATTTTATCCTTGTTGTTTATTAAGTAAATTAAACAAATAGTGCTCTTAAACGATGTAAACGCCAAGTGGAACATCATTTATAGTAGATATTCCTTTTGTAAATATTACTACCAGCATATTAAAACGTGTATACTGTGATGTATATGTGTGTACATACATATATATATATATATATATATATATATATAAGGAGCAAGGACTTTCAAATGCGTTTTGTTCTAAATTTGTAATTTTCTGAAAACGAGAAAGAAAGAAACTATGCATTTTACAGAAACTAAGAATGTCAATCACTAGGATGTAAAATATTAAACAAAATTGCTAAACAATTGCTAAAAATGTTAAACAAATGCATTTTGTTTGTTTCTAATTAAAAAACATAATGTATTTCAAAATGTCTATGTTTTTTCAGTATATAAATTAACGATGAAAAAAATGCTTTCTGAACATCTCAGAATAGCTTATAATGAGTCTTTCAATATTGAACACTCCGTCATCTCTAACTAAAAAAATGAAATTTTGAACAAAACACATTTTGAAAGTCTGCTCCTCATGATTTTGGTTATATTATGTTTCTTCTAGGTGGAGAGGCACTCAAAAGATATGAATGTCTTCTTTTTTAAATGGAATGTAGGATTTTTTTTTACACAATATCATTCTTCTAATTATTCTGCATATAAAAGTATTGAGGTAGAAATATCAAAAATCAATAGTTTGAGATATTTTATATTTTATTCTGGCACATATTGACATAAAATGTTAAATAACTCGTAAATTATTATTTTTTTTATAATCGTACCTTAATACTTTTATGAACAGAATAATGAGAGGAATCAATTGGAATAAAAAAACATATAGCTAAAAAAAAAACGTATGTAAAATGGATAATTTTTTAAATAAGCAACTATATATATTTTCAAAAGCATTAAGGTACAATTATCAAAAAATAAATAGTTTAAGAAATCAATAGTAAACTGTTGATTTTTTGGTGTCTCTATCTTTTATGTGCAGAATAATTAAAAGAATCATATTGTGTAAAAAAATATTATACGATAGCATTTAAAATAGTGGAGATAACTTTTATATCTTTTGGGCATCTCTATCTAGAATACAAATAACATGAAAATATGTCTTCCTTGAAACCGTTCTACTTTCATCTGAAACATTTTTTCCTCTAATAAAAACCAAACGAGATATTTCAGATGCTCGAGTTAGGTGAGACACCTTATATACATACATTAAAATTTAATCAAAAACATTAAAAGTGCACGATAATTGCAATTTTAATTCAATATATTTCAGAATAGATATTAATATTTGTTTTATTTTTTTTTAGCATCATGAGCAAGCAAGAATATTAATGTTTAATATTATATGTATATATGTTTTTTTTTCTATAATATATTCAATATTATTAAGTTTAGCATGTGAAAAGATAATTTGTGTTTATACATTTGTCTGTTTATCTTAATTACAAAATGAATGTGCAAAGATGACCTCTTTTGCATAAATCTATACCTACTTTTTATATATGTATATATGAGGAAGTAATTATTACTAAAATAGTGAGTGGCATGAATTTTTGTTACATATTTCAATTAATATAAAAAAACAACACGCTTCACAAGTCATGTTTTCTACAGTGACATGATATCAATGCTCTTCTTTGATTTTTAGGTGGAAGCCGTGGTTCAACACCTGAACAAGATAGAGAAGGACGTCTCGGCACTTCTCCTCACATTAACAGGTTCCTCGCGAGGGAGCCGCCCGATGGCTGTGAGAAAGTCAACCTCAAATTTGTGGAAGATGCGAGGTAATAACAAAGATCATTCTTCTCTACGGCCTACAGTATTATCTTTTACGCTTTAAATAACGATTTTTTTTCGTGTTTGTATAGGCGGCCCATGATAGATTTGAGCAAACTAGATTATTGTCCAAAGCCGTGCGTTCCAGCATTCCAGTTGAAACCCAGCTTGGGATCAGCGTTCCTGCCATTGCAACAGCCGGCCAGTCCGACAATGGTCGCCAGTGCATCACCCTCCGTGCATACAACACCGACCACACCTCCTCCAAATCCATAGTCCCACTCTTTACCTTGCGGTGTTACACTTATAAGCTCGATTAGTATATATACATATATATATTTTTTTTTAACGATCTTGTGGGTAGAAAGTGATTTACTTCGAGATAAAAGCATATAACGACAAAGAAAAGTTACCGAACAAAAGAAAAAGAACAGCCTGTTCCCAGTGCGCCCCGTGCGAATATCGTGTGGGTTTGTGAATTGTGTAATTAAAAGGAAGTTGCAATTGCATCGATAAAAAAAGAAGTATTGGAAGACATTTGAGCTCCGTTCTAATGATTGAAACAATAATAAATACGAGGAACAATAATTTGTGATAACTAAAAGGAAAAAAAAACAAAAAGAAAAGAAACGACAAAAAGTTTAGAAATGAACATTGTGTTCTACAGGGAAAAAAAGACTAATGAAATTGTGTATTCTAAATTTAGTGCTAAAATGTGCTAAACAACTTTAGTTTTGTATACACGAATAAATATTCAAGATGAGAAAAGGTATTAAATTTCATTGTTGGAATAAACAAAATTCTACGGATACAAAGAAGAGAGCACATGTTCACAATATATATATGCATATGCACGCATATGTATATATGTATTGCTAATTGTCTCTGATGTTTATTAGATTTTCATTGCTTGAAGTAACTTAATTACATAGTGACAGAGATGAATCACTTGTTAGAATTTTGTATCGTTTTGTATTATTACTTTTTTGTATGCTAAAAATATTCTCAAACTATTATTGTACAAGGAGCTAAAAAATAATGTATCCTTTTGTGTGTGTATGTATGTGTGCGCGCGCGTGTTTCTTTGTTTTACAGAAGTGGCTTTATGAGAACGATTGTTTTCAACGAGCAATCGATTGTCGTGTAAATTTATTTGGAGCTACATATAAATACGTTTATGGATCTATTTTTGACAAATAGAATTAAGCAAACTGCACATTTTAAAACATTATTAAAATTGAATTTAATATTTTAGAGTATTTTATACTTATTTGGAATTGTGGATGTTTTATTCTCTTCTATTCTATCTTGCGACGATACCATATGATTACAATGTTTTTATTTATCATATTTTATATTACATTGCAATCTGAATATGTACAACCAATACAAGTGACAGGTTGATGAATGTATGATGGAACGAGACATAAGAATGGACATGTATCGAGATAGAAACGATGACGATAATACTAAACATTGATTCACATGTGCTTTCGCTATGGTATCAGATGAGTAAAAACAGCTCCCTAATCTGGCGCGGAAGATAAGTGTGCCTGTTTTGTATAGACGTGGATGATTATCCTAAAAACATAACCTACGTCTTATACAAGTATGCGTGTGTTGTAATATCGAAATCCTGATTAAGCCATTCACACGAATAACTTTAGAAAGGAATCGATACAATAAAATCAATTTCAGCACGTAAAATATTTGCTCAAACGCAGTTCGACTATTAATCTTTATGTTATATTAAATAATTAGCGATTCAGGTAAAAAAAGGAAACTTGCTTTAATTGTCATCGAAGACACTTATCGCATTATTAATAGAAATTTAAAAAATAATAAAGATTGTTACATAAAATACGAATACAAGAGAAAAAGAAGTTAAAAGTTATTCGTGGGATGGGTTAAATTATTGTTTAGTATACACAGACATAGCCACTCAAGAAGTTCAAGTTTATTTTTTGCTTTCTAATACGAAAAGTTTTTGCAAACGGTTTTTATAGTTACTGTCTGTGGAAAATAAGAATATTGATAGAGTGTAAAGTCAAGAAACAGAAGAAACGGTTTTTTAAATACGATAGTAATATACTTTCTAATGTAATGTATATCTAGCTGCAACAGTGAAGAAAAAAAAAAGAATGTTAACACATAAGTACCTGGCACACTGGTCTATGCTCTCTCTTATCCAGCTCACTAGGAAGTTCATGCCTTAGAATGCGTGGTAAGGTGTGCTACATAGACAGGAAGGTTAATCAGAGAGTCAGGATATACACAAAAAATGCACTGGCTAGTTAAAGTGTATACAATACAAAGATACTGTAGCATTTACTAGTTTAAGAAAATTTCGTTTGTATTTATTTTGCTACAGATCTAACCTACCGCTAACTAGAGGTGCGTTCCGTATCGCGCATGATGTGCATGATGCATCCATTGTCCTTGTTTAACATTTGGTGAGCAACAAAGATAAACGATGCATTATACTCATCATGCGAGAAACGGAACGCACCCTTTGTCGTATATGTATGTCTGAGTGTGAAGCAGCTTTTAAGGGGAAAAAAAGTATAAAGTACGTATATATTCGTACATATACTTCAATCTGTGCTTTGCACTTCAAACGGAGAATAATTCCAACATAATACGACGACAATGTATAATTAACGTTAATGAATAAAGTGAAAGAACAGGTTTTCGTACATTTAATAATGAGCAGTAGATGAACAAAAAAAGTGATTTCAGCGAACGCTAGCCTCGTTATTTTCACCGCACTCTTTCAAAAGGCTCCACTCTTTAACCTTCGTGTACTTGCATAATGTGTTATCATTATTGTTAGCTTTTGTTGTCAATTCTGTAAGCAGAGTAACGCGTATGAAGACTGCTGGAACTAAGAATATTATCTGTTATTTGGATATACCTAAAAAAAGAATCTAAAGTTAAATAATTAGGCTCAAGTCATACCGATTACCTATGAACGAATATAAATATATTCTCTTGTAATTTATTAAATAATCTCTTTACGCGCGCGCGTGCGCGTGCGCGTCACTATTGTTCGGTACATTCTCTCTACATATCTAAATCTGAGCAGGCTTCAGAAACGGCAAAACGATTATGTCAATTAAAAATTTATTTAACCCTAGGACAGTCTAAGGGTGTCCCATTTTAATCTATCGGTCGAAATAACTTCGAGGGGGATGGTTTTATCAAAAAATGTTTAAGACAAAAGTTACTGGGGTTGAAGGGGGCCGTCCATCAATGACCTTGACCTTGACCTTGATGTCAAATTTGAAGGTTATTTCAGGATCAAATCGCGATTTTTAAATAGAAACCCCAATTTTTTATTCGGGATATCGAAAGAGCGGGAAATTTCACATTCCAACACGTTTTCATGTTTGGTTCAAAATGTCCTCTAACAACATTACAAGGTCAAACGAATGGAGCGTGATTAAGACTATTGTATGCAGATGCGCAAAACATAATAGTTGCAAGGATCAAAGGGGGGCGTCGAATGGTGACCTTGACCTTGATCTTGAGGTTAAATTTGAAGGTTATGTCAAGGTCGAAGTATTTTTTCTTGTCATCAAATGGAATGACGTATGACCTACTCGAATATGACGTTAAAAAACGGTAGTCACTTTTGCATGAATTTTACGTTAAATACTGTAGGGTTTGCGTTTAGGTTTTGCGCTTAATGTGTGTGTGTACGCTGCGCAGGCTAGCAGCAGCGCAGCGTACTAGCGCGGCAGTTGAGGATATGAAAACCCGTATTCGCGATGCATGTAGTCCTTAAGCGTAAAACCTAAACGCAAACCCTACAGTATTTAACGTAAAATTCATGCAAAAGTGACTACCGTTTTTTAACGTCATATTCGAGTAGGTCATACGTCATTCCATTTGATGACAAGAAAAAATACTTCGACCTTGACATAACCTTCAAACTTAACCTCAAGATCAAGTTCAAGGTCACCATTCGACGCCCCCCTTTGATCCTTGCAACTATTATGTTTTGCGCATCTGCATACAATAGTCTTAATCACCGCTCCATTCATTTGACCTTGTAATGTTGTTAGAGGACATTTTGGACCAAACATGACCACGTGTTGGAATGTGAAATTTCCCGCTCTTTCGATATCCCGAATAAAAAATTGGGGTTTCTATTTAAAAATCGCAATTTGATCCTGAAATAACCTTCAAATTTGACGTCAAGGTCAAGGTCAAGGCCATGGTCACTGATGGACGGCCCCGTTCAACCCCAGTAACTTTTGTCTTAAACATTTTTTGATAAAACCATCCCCCTCGAAGTTATTTCGACCGATAGATTAAAATGGGACACCCTGTATAGATGTATCGTTGCAGTATCTTGCACAAAAACGAAAATGATTGTTGATCGTATATTGTAATTTGTAAGATGCTCAGAATTATACAAACTTTTCACTACATAAAATCATGTATGTTGTATAAAATATATCTTAAAAAAAAAAAATTTTATATACCTACTGAAATTAAATGCAACTTTTATTCACCGTTTTATAATAAATATATAAAACATTATTTATTGTTTTTTTATTCTTTAAGAGATTACTGTCGACCTATTTTCTAGATTTCAGTACTGCTCGCGTGAATATAATGTAGATTATAAAATATTTTGATGTACCGAGCAATGTATTTATGCTATTTGAATGGTGCACATATATTTGCTAAAGTAATCAAAGTTTGACATGTTTAATTCAGTTAAAAATAACAAAGCTTATATGAATAAGCATTTATTTATTTCATTCTTTAACACATATTTACGTTATATCAATATGGTTTAAGAATATAAAATATTGGATACAAAACGATTGTTAATCAATTGATATTTACAAAATTGCAAATTTTATAATTTATCATACAATTTGTATAAATTTACCGGCTTGACCTTATAAATATAAATATATTTGAATTTCTAAAATAACAAATATAATTGTTTATCTTATAATTAATTGCGACATTCTCAATATTCCAGAAGAGTATCTTACAATGCTATATTATTGTTTTTATTCTATCTTGTAAACGGAGTCGAAATTTGTTTAGTTTCTCACTGGTCCTAGGGCTAAATTAAAATTAGTCAGAGAAGAGAAATAGAGTACGTAAATAAGTTAAAAACGCTTCTTGTACTAATCATTTCTGATAAAGAACATAGTGATGCATATTTTTGCAAAATTAAAGTTTATTGATGAAACAACAACAGCACGTTTGTCAATGTGTGTGTGTGTGTGTGTGTGTGTGCGCGCGTGTGTTCGCGCGCGCGCGTGCGTATGTATATACGTATATACACAGGGTGATCCAGACCAGCCGTAGGAACCGGCATGTACGTACTGTTTATGAAAAACTGAATTGAAAAATCCTTTCTCATTTTGCAATGATCGCAACAATTAACGAGATATTAATTTCTAAAAATTGCCGAATAAGCGGGTAAAATCGATGTACAAGACGATATTAACATATCTTTCGAGAAGTTCTTTACGAAATATCTCAAAGATATTTCTTAAAGAACTCTTAAAGATATCTTAAAGTTGTCTTATGCGTCGATTTTAGATATTCTGCTTATTGGGTAATTAAAAAAAAATTGCAAAAATTATAAAATGTACTAGTAGAAGACTTTTCGATTTAGTTTTTCATAAACAGTACGCACATGCCGGCTTTTTTGGTTGATCTGGATATAGCTCATCCTGTATATAACATATATATATATACATATATACATACATATATGTATATATGTATATATATATAATATATATTTTTTCGAAATACGGAAATTAATATTAAATAATAATTTTGTTTCACATATTCATTAAAAAAAATTTCAATTTTTAATAAGAAAAACTGATATATATATATATATATATATATATGTATATATTATTCTGAAACAATTGTATATTCTTGTTCGTTATCGAACGATTTATTGGCTTTATAATCTCATAAATAAATTTGAATATTATGATACTATTTCATCCGATATAATATATAGTTTGTTAAATATCTGTTTTTGCAGTTTTAATAATATTTCAATATATTCATCAATTATCACAAATGTGTATTCAGGATTTGTATAAAAATATATAAAACAAAGTTAGCATTGAGAATATTAGATAAAATTTTGTGCTTTTTAATATCTACATTAAATACCTTGTATATCTATATTAAATACCTTGATATGATTTATTTAAAATTAATAATATGATTTATTTAAAATTAAAAATTTTAATTGTCATTTTTTATAGCTATTTAAGAAAATGACATGATTTAATGATGATGTTTATGAATATAATTATTATAATACTGCGATTGTGATGTAACGTAATTTAAGCTCATGATATTTCGTTTGGCCATTGATATAAACACATCGACTGTTGCGTGATGGCTTCATAAAATAATATAATTATTAATGATCTTTATTCGTCGATTATAGAAAAAAAGAAAAAAAACGTTAATAATAACAAGTATATTTGTAACTCTAAGTGTACCATGCTATTAAGGAAGAACTTCTCTCAATATGGAAAGGTGAGCACAGCCAAAGTGTTGCCTAGTACAAATATATTGTAAAAAATGGATTGTTATTTAAATGAGCCGAAAGTGCTACTTGCGTTTTGCGCAGATTTATTTCGAGATACACTTATTTTTTTTTTAATATCCTTGATCTCATGAGTCCTCTTATTATCTTACCTCTCCATAGTGAGAATATCTTATCTAAGTTATTAAAATTCATGTTTTTTTATATGCGCGATTAGTTGTACTCTGATTTACCGGCATAATATTATATGTACTTATTCCAACAATAACAATATGCACCTTTATTTTTATCATAAAGGATAAAT